GGGTTTTTTGGTTCCAATGATGATGTGATATTGATTTCGTGGTCGTTTTCCTTCCTCTCCGTTGATTTCGTAGTCTTGGTGTCGTGGTGTGATCTAATTAAAGGGGCATCAAGCTTGCTAGCTGCTTCAACGTAATGGTTAGAGGTATGAGTATCAAACTCACATTGCGGGGGTGCTAAAGTACCACTATGGATACACACCCCCTTGTCACAATTCTTAGCGTCCCCAACTACGGTCTCTTCCTTGACTTGGGGTGTTTTCAGATCGGACAAAACTGCTTCGACAGCTGCGATGTCTTGACCTTCTTTAGAAGTTCTATTTTGCCAATCAATCTTATTACCATGCTTCTTGATCCACGGCATCCCTAGGATCGCATCATATGAGTCTTTAAGCTTAGTGATGATGAATCTTGAGGGCTCGGTGTCGTCGTCAATACACAATCTTGTGTCTTCAGTGATTCTTCTATTCTTTCCATCGAATCCTGAGACGTCTTTGGCTTTGGGCAGGGGGCTGGTTCTTATCTTATGCTTGCGAACGTAGTGCTCTCCTAATACTTCATGAGTAGCACCACAATCAATCAGGGCTTTGGCATCAGTTTTGGATGTGGGGCACGAGGGGTCAGACAATGTTATGGGGGAAAATAAACGTGGATCATTTGAATTGCAAATAAGTTTTCCTGCATCAATCATAACCATGTCCTTCCTCTCGTCACTTCCGCTCGAGTGAGACACATCCATCACTCTTGAGCGTCACCATCTTTTGATAGGTCTGCCTCACTTCCTTCACCCTGAGATCTTCCACCGCTACTACGTCCTCTACTTTCAAACTTGGCTAATTTTGCTTCTAAATCAGCTACTCTACTCCTTCCTTTTCCTTTCCACTTCTTAAACTTTCCACAGTTTCGTGCACAATGATTTAATCCTCCACGTTTGTAACACTCTCCTGCTGCTTCTCTTCTTTGATACTCTTCTCCAGAAATAGGAAACCGGGCGGCGGATAAATCCATGGCGTCCGGATCTCTAGCCGGGGTGTTTTGTACAGTGCTTGAGCTATGAACTGTCAATTGTTCACCATGAATCTCACTATCAATCTCAGCCGCTAGATTAGTAATGTCTTCCAAACATTCAAAAGTCTTCTGTAGCATTCCCATCCGGATTTCTAATTTTAAACCTTGTTTTTACTGACTAATAAGGATTGGAACTTCCCATTCGGTGGCTGCTGCCTATTGATTGAACTTAATTGAATAATTGGCTACGGAACCAGTTTGTTTCAAAGCACGTAATTCTTTTTATGCTCTTGTCTTCCTCATAGGGTCAAAGAAAACACCTTTGAATGCTTTCACGAAGCTGTCAAATGTAACTGAGTCTGACGTGGCCGGGTTGAGTACTAGTGCTAGCGTAGGCTGGGCCCATTGTAAGGCTTCTCTGGAGAGGTAAGAAAGTGCAAACATGACTTTTGATTGATCATTGGTAAACATTGCATGGTTTGTAAGTATGTATAAGCTAATTTGACTAATGAATCCTTCAGCCAATAGTCCTACGGTTCCGGTGAATTTGTTGGGTGTCGCTACCTTGGGTGTTATGGGTGCAGCTGGGGTAGGGGGGACCGAAACAAAAGTAGGTTGTGTATTTGATTTATTAGCAGCGCTCGGATTAGTTGCATTCGCTTCTAGCTGGGACAATCTAACTTCAGCCTGTTGTCTACTAAGTTCGGCAGCTTGTTGTAAGTTTGTTTCCTTAGTCAGCCGGGTGTTCAAATCGGCAACTTTTTGTATAAGTAACGCAATGTTTGGGATTTCTTCAGACATGTCTAGACTAGTCGCTGATTTGAAATCTTCGCTGTCGTGTTCTTCTTCTTTTACCGTGGATGTCGGTATCTTGGCGTCTTTTTTGTGGTGTTCTTTAACTTCTTCCAATCTTCTTACTAATGATTTTCAATATAAAGTTTTAACAATCTTCGATTTAAAGTTTTAAGTTTGATTCTGTATCGTCTGTCTTCTTCTATTTTAAGTTTGAGATCTTGCTTAGTTCTTGGGATTTAAAGATACCGCAATATGTTATGAACGGCTCTATGCAGAGTTCGTGAGAACTTATACAATTAACTGAGATTGCAGTGTGGGGAAAACTCTCATATGATACAACTGTGAGACGGGAGTTATTCCCCATCACCCGTGACATGTCTGTACGGTAGGTGTGACATCCATGGATCATAACAGTGGACTTGTGTAAGTATTGTTGTGATCAGTGCTTGGTGGTCAGAGAAGTGGCTGGTGATGCTATCTTTGTCTATCAGGCATTGTTGGATTGTTTCGTCAAGTGCTTTGTTGACCCAAGTTTGGTCAATTGAGGTGCCTAGTGTGGTGCTCAATCCAACCCCAAAGGTTGGGGTACCACATGGGGATCATAGGCGCATATCCCAGTCAGACATTTAGTCGACTAGTTTTTCTGCGTCCCAGTCTGTTGTGTTGATATTAGGAGGGTTCCACAGGGCGGAATGGAGGTTACAGTCGGTGTTGAGGATGGTTTGGAGTAGTTGAGTTTGGAGCGGAAGGCCTTTCATCAACTCTTTGTAGGCTGAGAATCCAGAGAAAATGGCCGGGTTGTTGTAGACACTGATAGCAAGCAGCTTAAATCCGGATGTGAATGTTACAGTACACGCGGCAATGTCTTGTGAAGTTGTTTGGAGGGGGTTGATTTGCGCATCAAGGTCTTTCCTGATATATAGGCACACTCTAGGTCGTGCTCTGATATTTCTTTTGTTAGGTGTTGAGCTAATGAGTGTCCAGTTGGGATGTTCTTGCGGTAGGTAGTTGACTTTGTTGATGTTTGGCTCTTGTAAGGACAGAATGGAGAACAAGTTAGTGAGATCTGAATTAAAGAGTGAGTTAGAGATGTCTGGTGAGTGGCAACAATTCAGTTGAAGAATTGACTCGATGTGAGGTAAGGTAAGTTTTTGCCAAAGTTGTTGTTCTAACATCGTAGCATGGAATCAACAACTTCTGGGACAACTACTAGTTTTGGTGAGGCACTTGGATTGTGAGGGGGTAGGCTCTCAGCAATTTGTGTTGCACATTGTGGGTGAAAAGGGGAATGGGTGAGATCCTGGTTATTGGATTCAAACAGGCCTTTGGCTGTTTTTGTTGTGTCTATTTTCATTAGAGCTCTGATGCACGCAGTGCACTTCATGGGGGTCGGGCCCTTTTTTGGCCATGCGTGTGCGTGATGTCCGTCACCCCAGTATGGGCACATGGCTGGGGAGGGGCAGGATGGGGCGGTGTGACCTGTCTTTTGGCAGTTATAGCACCTTTTAGGCGGGTCTTTTCCAGCCTCCGTCTTGTGAAGGCCGCGAACAAACCAAACTTTGTCTTTGATACATTTGTTGGCTTGGTCTTGAGAGTCCAGACCAATCAAGAGGGTTGAGTACCTCTTTGATGGATTGTCCTTTAGTTTGGGGTTGAGCCATCTGATGAAGGCTGCGCCCTGTAATAGATCGGGGTTGGAGGCGAGGAGCTCCTCACGGTGGCTAAGGATATCAGGGTCAAATGAGGTTGGGATAGCGTGGACCAACACTGTAAAGTGTTCTGGTTTGATGTGAAGGTTTGCTGACACGGTTGGCAGCCATGACTTTTCCATCTCCCTTACCTTTTCAGCATGTGCGGCGCTGGCTAGGTGTAGGACTAGATCATTAGATGGGTGTCTTTGGACTGTCTTGACTGTTATAGTTGACTCTGATGTCTCTTCAGCTTTCATGTTATTAGCACAGAACGCCGTGTTGAAGCCCTGAATGAGCTGGGTGACAGATAGTGAGCCTAAGGCTACTTGAGATTTGTCCGTTTGGACAAGTGTTACGGTGTTTGTAAGGCGCTTTCGTGCCTTGGGTTTGGGCATCTCTCTCTGGCTTGGACGTGGTCCAGCTGTTTGAGTGTGGGTTTGGTCACCAGCGTGTTTGGACGCAGCTGCGGCATATGAGCCTGTAGCGGGTGTAGCAGTTGTTTTTTGAGTTGGTTTTGATGGAATGATGTGGGAGGTTAGGATTGAAACCTGCTGAGAGCGCTTCAAGCTTCTCGGTCCACGAGTCAGCTCGGAAATCGAAGGTTGGATTAGAACTCATCGATGGGGGGTTCATTATTGGCACTGACGCTCTTTTGGAGCCTGCTAGGTCAGCTGCCGGTCGCTTAAAGAGGTTACACCTCATTTGTTCAAACTGATGCTGATCAAACGCTGCGTTGATCAGGACCAGGATGTCTGCGCAAGAGTTCACATCGATGTGAACCTGTTTGGCAAGCCGGCCCTTGGCCGGCAGCTGCATGACGTCGTTGGCGACCACCGCGAGCTTGGCCAACAGGACTGTGAGGCAACGATCTTCCTCACAGCCTGGGACCAATCGCGCCATCCTTTCAGAACGAGGCGTTCCGGTGACCGTTTGGATATGTTCTTGAGCCACTAGTCCGGGTGTACTAGTACGGGCTCTCTTTTTAGCGAACTCGGTTAGTAATGGGATCTCTGATTGCTTCGGGGTAGCTCCTAGGGCGTCTGAGGTGATTTCGATCTGGGGTAGACCGCGTTCCGAGCCTCTCAGGAAGGCGGCTACCGCGTCATCGTTTGTGCTAGACGCGGTCGGATTCGACCATCGTGACGTCGAATTCGAGCTTGGACCATCCTCGACGATTTGGCCCGTGTCGGGCGCGTCAGGGGCCATAGGGCGCGAGATAAAGAGGGATAAGAGGTTGTTGATGGTGGCGAAAAAGTTAGAATAATGAAGTGGACGAGGCGAATTTCGGGTCACGTGACCTTAGAAAAAACCTGTACAAAGTCATAATTCTTCCCTTTCCCCCATAACTATGTGGTCAAAGAAACTTGCGATAAGACTTTTCTTCGAAGGTCGATCTCGACCCGGCTGTCATCTACATCGATCCTCCTTGGTTGGTCGAGCAAAGGTCTAGAAAACCACGTGACCAGTCAAAAAACCCGCCAGTTGCTAAGAAAATTCATCCACCTTGAATGGTATCAATGCAGGCTAGGAAGGCTTCAGGTCGGACACCGAAGCTCGGTATGGGTCGGGTGAGCAAGCAATGAGATACCGTAGAATTTGTGACGTCTTGTTGTCGCTTTTCCATCTTGACGATTCCAGGTTGGTTTGCATGCTATGAGCAATTGCTCGGCGGAAGCTGTGATTGATGATCAGTCGAATTACATCACTTCGACTGACGAGGTTGGCGAACCTCGACTGGTGAGGTTGGCAGGAGAACATTATGAATGTTGCCGAGGTTTGCCACATCTATGTTCGGGACCAATCGTTGAATATCTGAAATATATCCATGAACACCTGCGTAGCCATGTAGCCGATGCACGCTCAGCACTGCTGCTAAAGATAGGAAATGTGAGCTCAAGGCCAGCTTTTTCTTGTCACCTATAAAAGAGAACTCGGATTATGTACTCGGATCTTTCTATCTGCGCATACTTCCTAGGATCACACTAATAGAGCTAGACCTCTATAACTAACAACTATACATCTAAGGGATTGCCGGGCATCCTTCCTCTCGCTTAATATGACTACTACATCTAGATATTTAAAGCACAAGGCAGATCACTCAACTGCCTTTTTTAGACGAAAAGGTATTATCATATTGTTGGTTTTGATCTTCTTCTTCGGAACTTGTTCAGCAAAGGGAGGAAATCACAAGCCGAATAACCATAACACGACACCTGATGGTAAGGCCAAGGTAGGAGGTTGCCAGTACAAGGGTACAGGTGACGTCAAGAAAGAAATCGACATGTTGAACAGAGAAGTCAAACAAATGAATGGTATCGTCGGTGGCCTCGGCAAGAAGGGGGGTAATTACATAGAACTTGCAAAGCATGGCATATGCTCGGAGATCCAACAGAATGGTGCCCGAGCGTTTCTAGCCGGGCCCAAGGTGGCAAATCTCACTGCCGATTTGAACGAGATCAACAAGCTCATTTCCCAAATCATGTGAGTCTTCGTCAAGAATGTATCCATGATTGCTCTAGAGCAATCCGTACTATGTGAATTACCATTGAGAGCCAAGACTGAAGGGAATATCCTGGATTCTTTCTCATAGAGACTTATTGAACAAATTCATCAGCGGTAAAGGTCAATCAGACCAAAGCGCAGCAAAGCTAGCTCAAGATATCACAGCAATCCGCGGCAAAGCCAAACCAAGTAAGGGTCTTCTCTTCATCCACATCTCCTTGTCATCAACCCGAGCATATGAATCTGATTCAAGTTGACGCCAATCTTGTGATATCATTGAAATGGTAAAGTTAATAAAAAGATCATAGACGCAGCCACCAAGAAAATTGGTACTTCAACAACCAAGCCGCGCCACAAGTAATCGGGCAAAACTCAGGAGAAGATCGAATATGACCTTTTGAGGAAATATATGCGAGTACTCTCAAGCCTCTATTGATTACAAAGAAAGCAACAGCACATACCTGTCTCCTAATATCAAATTTCAACCAAAATCTCTACTTTCACCCCCGTTATCCTTAATCTCGTTCAGTTCATCTGTTGTATTCAGAGCGCATTTCACAGTGTCTATTGAACTGAAATTTTGTCCTTTTATCACAAGTAATTTTCTAGCATTTCTTAGCAACTTTATTTGTAATACTTTAATCCCTGACTTGGCTTACTTGTGATTTTAATTTGATGGATGCTTCCATGTTCTCAACTCCAATTGTTGAAACTTCTACCCACTTGTCCTCGTCTGCTGGCCTGCCTTTGTATTGTACCAGGTACAGGCGCATATCTTTACCTTGGATCCGCACCAGTTTGTCGTTGATGACTTTCTTTATTCCAGGCCACAGCCCTAATATGAACAGATAACTGAGCAAACCTGTATGTACATGATAGCCATCTAGGGCTGTGGCCCGGCCCTGGGTTTCGTTTTTCCCGTTAAGTTTTTAACTTTTTTTTTCATTTTGCATTTGTAGGTGAAACTGCTCAACCGAGCCAACCTCAAGGAAGTCCTAGTCCGGATGGTTGTCAATTGAGAAGTTCCGGTCTCCTTTGTTGACGCAAAGGAGTTCCAAGAAATGATCAACATGATCAACCCAGCCGCCTAATCCCTTCTATCCAAACAAAGCGCTGTTTCCGAATCAATTTTGGACATGTATTGTTTGACTTGTGCTTCAATCACCAACTTACTCTAAAACATCAGCCACATCAGTATTACTTGCAATGTATGTACAACTCCTACCAACGTATCCATGTTGGGAGTGACTTCCCACTGGATTGAAAACTTGTTCACAATGTGTGGGATTACTCTTGCTTTGAAGCCTATTGACGGACCACATACTGGAGCTAATCTTGCCATGCTTCTCAAGCACACCCTGGATTCTTTCAACATTGCCAAACGGCTCTTCTGTATCACAGCTGATAACGCTTCCAACAACACAACTATGGGTCAGAGTCTTTCCTCAATGATTCCTCAATCCAATGCTTCACAGAACCTACATGGTTGTGTGGCACACATAATCAATCTCATGGCCAAGGCTGTCATGGGAGTCTTTGAATCAAGAGGAACCTCCCCTCATCAATGCCCTTGACCCAGCTATTCCTCAACCATTGTCGTCAATTCCCTTATTTCTTGAGCCTACCTCAAATTCTGAGATATGCAGCATCCTCACGCAAATTTGTGGATTTCATAAAAAGATTAAACACAGTGGTCAGCTCAAGACTTCCCTCAACAATTCCATTGCCAGCTGTGTGACGTTGGCACACAAGGTCAGTCTTGTTCACAAAGTTTCAACACGGTGGTTGTCCACCCACTCTTCTCTTTCACAATTTGTCAAGCTTAGAGTTGTGATAGAGTATCAATTTAATTGCACCCCTGCCCTTGAGGGCTTCAAGCTTGAGCACAAAGAGTGGCTCTTAGTTGAAAATCTTGTCCAGTTCTTAGCTCCTCTGGCTACTGTGACCAAGACTCTAAAAGGACACAAATACCCAACTTTCTCTCTTGTTATGCCTGACTACCAATGGCTAGTCAAACAGCTTGAATGTGTATATTTTTTTCTTTTTGATTACTTTTTTATTCCTTTTTATAAGTTACTGATATCACATCTGTTTGTTACAGGCTTGGGCCAATTCTAAATGCAAGGAGTTGGAAGTGGCAATTATGCCCATGATAAAGAAGGTGATTCAATATCAAGAGGCGGCTCAGAAAAAGGCAGTCTATATCTGCAGTGCTATTCTTGACCCTTGACTTGAATTTACCGCCATTAAAGCTCAAACAATGGAACCACTGGGTTGGGGACATGAAGATCTAGTTACTTACTTTACCAAACATGCCAGTGCCTTTAAAGCTGCTCTTGACACGGAGATTGAAATAGTTGAACCTCAAGAAACGCTCCGCCTTGACCAACCTCAACATCACATCAAGCGACGCAGGACGGTGCCGATTGAACATGAGGTGCACAAATATCTCACTGCCCCTCAAGAGGACAAGATATGCAAGCCTCTCAACTACCGGCAAATCAACACCCGTCTGTGGCCCAACCTGGCATGTATGGCAAAGGCAATGATTGCTGTGCCTGCCGCAAGCACACCTAGTGAGAGTCTTTTTAATGCCTTGCACTGCCAGCATTAAAGAGGTTCCCAGGTGGGAAAGTGACCTAGGCTGGGAACATGATTGAGAGTAAAATGGTCATGAAATCATCTTGCACTGCACAACTGAGCCTTGAAGCATATGCTACATATGTGCAAACATCTGTGTAAATCCTTAGCTATCAGCTACATACACATCAGCTCAGTTATCTGTTCATCTGGATAGGGAAATTACATGTAATACATGTTGTAATTTTGCTCAGATTGTGACAAGCATTTTGAAAAATTGACTACATATATCACAATGACTACTCAGGCAATATTTCTTAGGCTGTGTAACAGTAACAGAAGGGGAATCTGGTCCCTGGGACCCAGATTCCCATCCGGGAACCTCTTTAATGCTGGCAGTGTTGAGAGTGATGAGCGATCACCAATCATCATTCACTCCCACCAATCTTGAGGTGCAAGTATGCCTTAAGAGCTGGAACAAGGTGTTATCAACCTGAAATGTTTCAAGTAAGCTCACACCGCGAATATAATGTATTTTTCCGAGGTGAAAAATGATTACATTTATTTCACAAAATGATTAAAAATGCATTAATTCTGCATTAATTCTGCATTATTAATCATTTTGTGCATTAATTTCAATCACTTTTCACCTTGGAAAAATACATTATTTTTGCAGTGTCATAAACCTTTATATATTCTTTCAAAAAGGCTGACATCTGTTCTCTTTTCTTGTGAAGTAGGAGCTCTTATGAAATTTTATACACAAAAATTCAAAATATACTAACCAAGTAGGATCTTGCAAATCTAGAATGTTTTTACTTTCTAAAACTGCTCATAAAGCTCTTGTACAAGTTTCTATACATGTGAACTCTTGGGATCAGAAACTTGTTTTTCATTTCTAAATAGGCTCATAAAGTGGTTATCTAAGTGTTATACTTGTGAATTATTGAATATCAAACAATATACTTGTTACTTATCCCCTTCTTGTGCATTTTTTACCCTACTGTTGAGTCCGGTCCTGCCTGGCCACGTGGCCAGGGCTTCCGGGGCGTGCCCTGGGCGGCCATCCCTCCCTGTTAGAGCCCATTGGATCTACCCGGGGCCTGTTTTGGCCCCGTGGCCGGCCCCAAACTTTTGTGGCCGCACCACAGTCCTAGCTCATATGGATTAGCAACTCATATGTAATACATGCTGTAACAGTTTTCAGATTGAAAAAAGCATTCCAAAAATTGACTACAATAGACTGACTCAAAGTTTTGGTGTAATTTCATCAACTAAACTTCATGTGACCCTTTCTGTTACTGACAAATGGGTTTCAGTACCAGCATAAAGTAATTTTCCTGTGGAGAAGATGATATCATTTAGAGCAACAAATGATTAAAGATACATTAATTCAGCATTCTTGATTATGTGATGGATTGAATGTAATCATTTTGTCCGCGGGAAGATTACTTTATTCTGGTTGTGTTTGAGAATATTGCCTGGTTGCTATAGAGATATATGTTGTAGTGAATGTTTGGGATAAATTTATCAAAGTCAGAAAAGTTATGGGATGTATTACATGTGATTTATCTATTCAGATGAGCAGACCTGGATGTACAAGATAGGCAACTATTTAATTAGCCTACTGCACATATTTAGTGTGGTTATTGTGGCTCAGGTTTGCAGTGATGGATCCTTCTATGACATACTACTCCTGTCAGGGTGGCTATCTAATAAAGGTGCTGAGAAAGGTCTAGTACTTACTCAGTAGAGATCCTGACAAATATGTATCTCACTATTTACTCCGGATATACTAACTGGATGAAACCTAAGTATCAAATAAGAATGTTGAACATCAGTATCTATAGTGATAAATACAAGTTTTTTTGAATGCACAGCCTCAGGCCTACTGTCTGTTCAACAAAGTGGGATGGTCAATCCTGAACCCAAGTTTTTCCCTTGAGCTTGGGAGCTTAGGGTAGCCTGATATCTCTTACAATACTCAGGGACCTTGTCCAACAGAAGTTGCAAGAATAAGATGACCAATCATAAATCACTTGCAAAAATTCTAGGAAGCAAAGAGGGATCCTTCTAAGAATTTTGGGGCTAATGAGATATTAATTGTATGTTGGCCAGAACTGTCGAAATACAATCAAGACCAGAATGGGTTTATGAAAATGCAATTTAGGAAATGGTGAATACGGTTTAAGGTGTATCATTTCTCGTTTGATAAGATGTTTCTTTTACTTTTTTTCGTGCTTTGTTCTTCGTGCTTTGTTCTGTAACCCCAAAGGACTCTATTGTACCTCATTCACTGCGTCCACCACAGACCTTCTCAACGTCGAGATGGTCAGATCTTCCCGACTTTGTTTCCACTTAACTCTTTTTCAATGTTTTGTTCCTTCACAGACCTTCTCCTCAGTCAAAAGCCTGAAATTCCCTCCTTTCCACGTTTTTTTACTTTACTGAGCTTATGGTCAGTCAACAGTCTGAGGTATTGCACCAAAGCTCAGGAGATGAGCAATCACCTCAGCGCACAGGCATAGCACTTTGTACATGACCGCGCACATGCACATTCACTTTTAGCCCGGAGAGAAAATCTTGAGGGCGTCAATTGAACACTAGAAAATACGGTGCCATCCAAGCTGCAGGAAGCATTAAAAGCACGCATCTTCAGAACTCCCTTGGCAGCTGA